TTTGTCCATAACTCAGAAGTTTGCGAACTAAACTTCCTTTGTTGAACTATTTAGTGTGTTCATATATATGTATTATATGTAGCAAAATACACGCACGTGTGTCTGTCTACGTATGTAGGTCAATCAGTGGTTCTGGGAAACGCCCACCCTTCCACCCATGGCCACATGGCCAGATCTGATAACTCTTGTTTTTCTCCGGCGCTCCATGTGTCAGATCTCAATCTAACACAGCCAGCGTATTTTCCAGAAGTTCCAAAGTGCTGTTTATGCCAGCCACCACACTGGAGGGTTCCTGGTGCCAGGGTTCCAGCTCTAGCATTTGGAGGGTTGCTATTTGTATGGCATCTTTTAAACACAGTTTCAAATCTCAAACATTTTCAGCACAGACCAGATCCTCTCGAACCACACTTCGGGAAAAAGAAGTATCCCAAAGTTTTTTGTAGGCAATGGGTTTCTTCGTGAATGCTGCGTCTTGCTTGTGGTATGCTGCCGCCCAAATATCAATGACACACTGACAGAAAGCAGGGGTGTAGATTCCAGATTCTTTGAGGTGGGAACCTCCCGTCACAAATAACCGACGTTTGCTCTTGGACCGATGTTTGAAGTAGTAGGTCTTCTGGTTCTTCTCAAGGATTTTTTTTCGGAATTTCATCGCCGTTCTCAGATACCTGGGGCGCACACAAATCACCCTAACTTTACCTGTGTAAAAATGGGGAAAGTAAATATATAAATATATATATATATATATATATATATATGTGTGTCTTTATTTCTTATTTACATATATATATATATATATTTATATTTATACATATGTATACATACATATATACGTCTATATACCTAGATATATAATCTATATATATATATATAAGATTCTGGATGACGCTCCCAAGAAAACTCAATCGTTTGCCCAAATGCTGGTTTTTTTTCAAGATCATCCGACGTACTCCTGGAATACCAAGTAAAATGTTTGTTTGGATCTTGTCCCACTTTTCCTGGAGTTTTTTCGACCAGGTCCGCTCTAACGGTTTCATCACATCCTCGATGATGTTTACCATAAACACGGACGGTTTTGGTAAAGGGTGTCCAAAACATTTCATCCAACTGTGGATTCTGACAGCATCGATTGCCAGAAGAAATCGTGCCAGCTCAGGGAAAATCCAAAGCACGCTGCTTGCAGGCTGCTCCATCCTGACTGTGGCTCAAAGGATTGTGCTTGGAAAAGACTGCAAAGGATCACCTTTTTTGGAATATATATAGGGAATAGCCAGCCCCCAAAAAAACATCAAAGTGCTGTCAAAGCACACGATAAAGATAGAGCGGGAATGCGCTATTGCCAGCAAAACCACCAGATTCACAATCAGCTGGTTGGCATCTCTCACTTTTGCTCGCATTTGATTTCCGTACGGGAATGACAGGCACCTCATATGAAATGAGCTGGCAATGAAGACGAACAGTCCACAGGGTGACCCAGACATAAGCACTCCACGTTCCACCTTGGGGCGGGCAGCGACAGTTGTGAAAAAATGTTTTTAACAGGAACATTTCTTAGCCAATTAACACACCACCACGGGGATTAAACAACTGCCAAGTTGATCGGCCAGGCACCAGAGAGAGAACCAAAAGGAGCGCCTGAAAGAATCCTTCTTTAGTAAGCAGATTGTTGTTGGTGGGATCTCTCAGAATATCGTAGCCAGCAGATGTCAATCCGTTCTTCTCACATTGGGCTTCAAAATTTCCAGACCCCGCAAAGAGATCTAGTGATTGCAGGTCCCGCGGCCCTTTGAAATCCTGGACCCTTGTATGGATCTCATCTAAATTTTTAGAAGCATCGAAAGTAGAATCTTCAGGAAAAACTATTCGAACATTGTGATCGAATGCCATGGCATGGATGCTTTCGCTACCCTAGGCAGGCTTGGGGCAGAGCTTCGATATGAGATGTTATGGGACGGCAGCCAGCCAATTGGAACCAACAAATTTCGAATGAGTAGGGATTCCCACGCAAAGTTTCGATTCTCAGCACGATAAATGTAGTCAGCGACTTTTTTGAAACATCTTGGCGGTAGCCAGATCGCGGTGCTTCTTGTGCAAAGCCTGGCATTTCCAGTGAATCACATTTGCCCAAATCCTCCTGTGGCATGCCCTTGCAATCTTGGCTATTAATCCATTGAAGGATTCATCCCTGTACGTGCTGTATTTGCGTGGGTTTCCTTTGAAAAGCGCACGCTGAATAAGGTGAATCATAAAGTGACACTTTGGGGTAATGGGTCCATCAGCTTTGCTGTAGAACCGCAAAAACCTAAGGTATGTCCCCAATGCTTCCTGCATTTGTTTTCTTGAAAACGTTCTAGATTCAGCACTAAACACTGTATCCAGTTTGTTTGCTGCTTTTGCAGCCTCAAAAAGATATTTCCCCTTCCTTGCCATGTTTTCTGGCATCCGGGATGTGAAAGTATCCATGTGCGTCTCAAGCAGGTGGCAAACAAACTTTGCGAGACCATGCGATTCAGCAGCTTTCGCATGCAGGCTCGGATTGTCGTAGGTGCCAAGCATAGTCAAAGTCAGGTTCCAGACCTTCAAGGGTTAAAGACAAATAATTAGTATTAAGAATTAAGAATGCAGTCATTCCCATAAGATCATTTTGGTGGGTTTAAGCTCCAAGGAAAATATTTACATGAGGATCCTGACTAGTATTCTTTCTCAAACATTTGTGGGGCAATGAGAAAGGTTGAACCTACTTTCCAACCAAAGGGCTTCCGAAGATTTCCCAACCCAATCTGGATCCTTCCGCTTCTCTTTGTAGAATTGGAACAGTTCTGCTTTGATAGCGAGAAGTGACAGGTGGCGTTTGTCTTTAGCATCCAGACCATCAGTTTGCGGTGCCCACAAATTGGAGTCAAGACAATAATTCAGAGCTAAGCTGACAAGTAACTGTAGAGGGCCTAGATGCCAGCCGTGGAGAATGTCGAGGCTCCATGTCTGCAACCCAACTCCAGCTAGTTTGAGCAAAGGGCAATCGTGTAGTAGCCTTCCATCTACATGCCCCGCCCACCAGTGGCATTGAAATGGCACATCTGTGAATTCGAATGCAGCTACATCAGGCAGAGTAGGTGTAGGCATCAGCCGACTGAATTTTTTCAGCCCAAATTCCGGCAAGTCTTTCACAAGGGTTCGGCCCCGGTACTTTTTCTTGTACTGCAATTTCTGATAGATCTTGGTTCGCATCTCAATTGTGCTGACGTCCAATACCTCAGCGAGATTTAATTCCATTTGTTTGGCAAACTTTGTGGATAGCAAAACAACCCATTTGTAACCAAACATTTTTGAAAACATTTCGTTGGGATCCAAGGGGCATTAACGCTTTGATCAAGATCCTGCAGATAGTCACTGGTTGTATACTGCTCGAAAGGCATCGAATCCACAGTTGTATGGTTCAAATTCAATTCCTGTAGCTGGTTCTGATCAATGCGACAAAGTGGACATGGATGGGTGTTGTGGCTCCAGTACCGAAGCCCAAATACTTGTAAAAATGCTGGCCAATCACCCTGGATGTCCAGGACCGCGTATCGAACCAATGGAGCAGTCTCCAAAGCCTGGAGGTCAGACACGCAGGCTCCAGCAAGGGGTGCAGGCTGCACCACCCACGGCAACCACATTGGCACATCTCATCGCTGCCTAAGATAGTTGGTGTAAACACAACAAATTATTCAGAAATTAAGTGAGTGGAGTGGCTGTGTTTTTGCTGTCCTCAAAATCTCCTGAAAAAAGACTTCAGACTTAAGGACTGAGTTTTGGACGAAGTAGGAAGGAGAGGAATTTCTGGTTGCTCAAGATGTCTGTGACATAGAAAGCTGTAAAAGAATCGTTCTTGGTGTAGGCAACCCCATCCCAGTATAGAGCTAGCGGTCGAACTTTGGTCTTGAAACCTTCAGCTTTTGCTCTAAGAACGACAGGGTGCTCGTTGTAGCAATCCAAGCCCCCAATCACTTTTTCAAAATCTTTCCGTGGGTGGCAGTAAACCATGTCATCCGTGATATGATCTCTGAAAGCTTGGGACGGCAAGTAAATGGGAATTTTCTCACAAGTTCGAGTGGCATTCCGCTTGATGTAGGCAGGGCAGTCAATGTAAGCCAGGTCAATGTCATCGTAAATTTTTCCTGCATGCTTCTGAACATGTCGATGCCCATTCTTTGAGGCCGAAGATGGGTTCAGCGCAAGATCACTGACTCCCAGGCCGCCAGCTTGGGTGATGTAATGGGATAACAGAGCTACGTCAGAACCAGGCACCCCTTCTGTGCAGAATTTGTCTAGAAGAAACTGTCTCAGTTCCAATCCAGCTTTGCGTCGGAGTTCATGTTGTGGGTCATCAGCTAACGATTGCGCATGAGCAAGTTGGGCATCTAGTCGTGCTTTCTTATACATGGGGGGCCACCAAAACTTGAACAAAAATTTGATTTCAGTCCCCATGCATGGGCGGTTTCAAGTGGACACGTGAGGCCAACCCCAACCATATACAAGTACAGCCATACATTGAACAAAACCTGTCAGCTTTCAAAATCAACATCCCTGCAGACCACGCCCTTGAAGATTTTGACATCAGTTTCAAAGGTGCACAACCGTTTGCCCAGAGCCCCCCTCTGCGCGTAACCCTACACGAGCAGCTAGGTGTTCGTCACCTAGCCCAAAGATCCTAGATAGAATCAAACTTGGCGCACAGCTTTTGAAAGAACATCTATGCCAGTAACTTTCCAACCTAGAATCTTTATTAATCATGCGTTTGGGTTGAGATGGCGCTAGCGCACAAGCTTTGACATTTGAAACCCCTTGTGAAAAGAGTAAGGACTATAGACTCAGGCAATGCGAAGCTTCTTGCTCTTAGGTCCTTCCGGTTCGACCATCGCCTGTGCCATCTTGTGGACTCGTGTTGCCAGACCATGCATCCTGAGAAGGGGCAACGAAGTAGCAAAAAACATAAGACCCAGATAATTTTTTGGGGGAAAAGAAGCATGGGAAAAATTGCACTTGTGAAGATGAGATTCCCTGCCGCGATTGTCTGACAGCGGTCCACAAAGAGGTTCATGAAGGAGAGGTAATCATCCTTGTAGGTCTTCTTCAAGCTGCGGATGCCAGTCTTGCCCAGGATGCTAAGCTTCACACTGTCAACGAACTCTGTGATGTCTTGACCTTGTTCCGGAGTCATCGCGTCTCGAAAGCTAGTCACCATCTCTTTGTACTCTTCGATGAAGCTCTTTGCCCACCGATACTCTGAAGGCAAATCATCTCCTTGGCCAGCGACCTTCTCCATGATTTGGGTTGCCATTTGGTGATTCGATAGAATCTCCTTCACTGCCTTTTCTGCCGCCTGCTCTGCCGAAGCCTCTTTCTTGGTCCTACCCCCCCCTGCTGCTTTGGGCTTGGGAGTGGCTTTGCCCTTAGCCTTGGCCTTTGCTTTGGCCTTGGCCTTGGGCGCGGGTGCTTCGCCATCCTTGTTGGGAGAACCTGCTTCTGGTGAAGAGGGATCAGTAGCTGCACTGTCAGACGTCCCAGACGACGTCTCACCATCATTGAGGCCAGGGATGCACACATTCATTTCAGCCCATCCTTGGAGACCTTGTGGACTAGCAGCAACTTCTTGGACGTTGCAACTTTCAAAGGGAACCCCATAAAAGAAGGCGTATTTCCTCACTGCCTTGCACTTGAAGCTCTCTGTCTCAAAGGTTCCCGAGGAGTCAACCAACTCCGCAACATCCTTCCAAGACTCCTCCTCACACTTGGACACCAGCTTCTCGACCAAAAGGTAGTTGTCAGCCTCTGTCCAGGTGTTGTAGAAGACGAAAGCCTCCTGCCAACATGCGGTTGCAGTAGGTTAGGAACATAACCCTATGTCTCTTTGAACTGGGTGTGGACGTTTTTTTTGCACATATATTACACACATAATATATATATATATATGCATATATATATACATTGATAAATAGATAGATGGATGGATGGACGACTGGATGGATGGATGGATGGATGGATGGATGGATGGATGGATGGACAAATAATAGATATGTAGCTATGTAGTTGCATATGTTACAGATAAATATGCATTTGTATTGTGTGTGTCAAACTTCAACAAATAATGCAGAAGATGAGCAAAAATGACAACCCCCAGTCCTCCCACTTTCTGCAGTTCTTGATGTAGTTCGAAGCCTGGCGCTGTGCTTCCGGTTGATCGACACCACCGAAATGCTGCTGTAGTTGAAGCTCACTTTTCCACACCCCAATCTCCTCTTGTTTCACCTTCGTGCTGATGGTCTTGATCCTCTTTTTGAGCACTGTGTCGAAAGACCTGTCCATGGCCCATGACTGCCTGAACTTTTTTTTCAGATCGTCAAAGAGCCACTTGTAGCATTCTTGGGCCCCAGGATCTTTTTTCAGTTGGCGATACATGGCATTCCCCATAGGTCCACGTGCCTTGCAATCAAGGCCGTAACATGCCCAACCTTCTAATCCTTCAGGACTCTCAAACAGCATCTCTTGAGTAACATCACCCACAGACACGTTGTGGAACTTGGCGTACTGAACCTTGGCCCTTTGCACACTAGGTTTCCTATCGTCACTAGGTCCAGTCACATTGGGTCCCGTCGGCGGAACTGGTTCTCGGGCAGGTGGATCACTTGGAGCGGTCTCCTCAACCTTACGGGAAAATATAATGAGAGAAAAACAAAAACAAAAAATTTCCAAAAAAAAGGTTTGTTACGACACCTTAATCATTAAACAAGTTGATTTTTGAGCAGCACTTTGAAAACTCTCCCATGCAGGCCTGCTGAATGTCTTCCTCATCAGGATTGGGCACGGGGGCTGCAAGAGCTGCATCGGCCATGGTGCTAGGGCGAGCGTAGGCAATCGTAACCCCAAAAAGCTTTGATCTGAGAGCGTTGGTTGGCAAGGTGTACCCCTCATCGAACCCTCATCGGACCCTCATTGGACCCGAGTTCAGGGAACAGGGGGGGGCTCATCGCCCACTTCAATTCATTCCAAGCTTTCGGAAAACTATTTTTTTGGTAGGCTCATCACATGCTCATCGGTTATATGGCCGGACCCCCTCATCGCCATCCGTGCTAAAAAAATTTGGGGGCTCATCGGTCCATCCAATTCTTTCCAAGTAAGCCAGTTTGGGGTAAATCAGGGGGGCTCATCGGATGCTCATCGCTATGGGCTCATCGACCCCTCATCGCTATGTTTTTTGATGGTTTTAATCAAAACTGTCAAAAATATCATAGTTGGATATTTCACTGCCCCGGCTACGGCACCGTAGATCCATATCCGAAGGGGATCCAATTTTGTCCCAGATAAGGGATCCAATTTTGTCCCAGGTAACAAGGTAATCAAATAGGCCCTCATAAGTTTGCATACGGGTGCCAAACCCATAATAACCAACATAGATCTACCTAAAAGTCAAGCAGCATTTTTCCAAAGAAATTGGATGTCCTTGACATCACATCACCCACATGGGCCCCCGACTCCCCTCCACGATATGGAATATGGCTATTTGCCATCGGCTAGCCTTCAAACTTGGACCCCACCAAGCCCCCCAAGTACTATGTTTTCTTAAGTATCAAAATTCATGCTTTTCTAACTTGCTGGGGTTCAAGTTTGAAGCCAGCCCAGTTGCTGTACCTACCCGTTCCTGCAAGGATGTGGGCCCAAAGAAAGAAGATAAGAGCGTGAGGGGAAGAGGCAGGGAGGACAAGAAAGAAGTGGCAGTACAGAATCATGAAGTATAGGAATTACAGAATCTTTTTTGAAGCCTGACCGCTTTGGGCCTTGCTTAACTTCAAACGGTGGCTTTGGCATGTTTCACAACCTTCGTAACGCACTCTTCAAAGTCCAGTGAAATTTGGTGAAAGCGTTAGGGCCTCATCAAGAAGCCTCAACTAAAACAATTTCGGTTGAGTTTGTTTTTTGCTTGTGCGTTGTTAATTTTTTGGGGGTTGGTTGAGAAGAATCAATTTAGGGAAAACATCCCAAAATAGTGAACCCCAAAATGGAGCCGTAACGCTCCCAAAATGGAAGCGGTAACGCTCCCAAAATGGAAGCAATAACGCTCCCAAAATGGAAGCCGTAACGCTCCCGAAATGGATGCCCAAAAGGTAGTTCATGAAATGACTTTTTGCAATTTGGGTTCCCACAGCTTAGCTAGTCCAGTGGTCCCCAAAACCCGCACTTCTTGACAGGCTTGTGGCCCACAAGGTATCGTGCCAAGAGTTTGATTCTCAGATCAGAACAAGTCTGGAGAAGGACATGGTGATTTTTGAGAGATGTATACATATAGAAAATAGAAGTTACAAAGAAAGAGGGGGTCAATGTAGAGGAGGGGAGGAAACAGGGGCCACCACCTTGCAGGAACGATTGAAGGTAGATCTCTTTCCGAAGCAGTTGTGACGGTCTTTGATTTTTTTTTCCGTAGCATGTGATTCCAAATGTTTCCACGTATGCGATCTCGAAAAATTCCATCGCCAAGCATAGCACCCCTTTGACAATGCAAGAGACAATCAACATTGTGTTGTGAAAAATCGGAATAGAGGATTTGGGACGCAAAATCTTATGGTGGTAGCTCGGCTATGCTCAAACAAAATCTGACCCAATCCCGGAGTCTCTCAATCCGTAGAGCCACGACCGCGCTCATCTCCAGGTCGCTTGCCCTTGACATCTTCCGTCGCCACGTCGCCGCCTGAATTGCAGAGGCCAGCCACAGCAAGTGGGAGCTTGGGGCATGCATCCATATATAGGAAACCTAACTGGTTTCTGGCTTGTTCTAGAGGAGGTTCTAGGACATGGCCAAAAACACCTTTTCTCAAAGCATACCTGTCAAGATGAAATTGCTTTGGTAGGTGGATACGCAGGCACTACTTGGAACATTTATAGCGTGTTTGCCCCGGAAGGGGGTCAAGGAATTAACCCAGGAGAGGATCACAAAAACAAAGCACTTCCCAACCCCTTGAAGTGTTAAAAACCTGTTGTGGGCTTAGTTGCATATGATGATTTGAAATCTGTGGGTCAAGACGTGGGCCCAGAATGGGATGATATCAGTTTCAAACCCATAAATCAAAACAAACCGTTGAAATAGATTCCTCACTATTTCTGGACTTGACACCAACATGACAAGCTAAGGAAGACCCCACCTATATCATCTTTAAATTGTATAGGGGGGATGCCGGACATGGCCCGCAAGACCCGTAGGACCCAGCCTGACCCAGAATCCTTTGCCATCTCCAAGCGCTTTTCGTATGCAGTGTGCATAGTGGTTTTCTCTTCCCAAGTTTCATACAAATAGTTCAAGAATTTGCCTGATGTATGTAGGTCCACCAATTTGTTGCGTATGCCCATAAGATCGTTGATGTCGTTGTCACCATCAAGGACTAGACTCATGATGACTTTGAGGATCGCCATCGCATCCACACCACAAATTTCTGGTGGCTTGACCACCACTTGAAGCTTTTGGGAAAATTTGGTACCCCCTTTTGGCTTGAACTGCAAGGACGCGATGGAATTTCTACCTTTTTGGGATTTGAGGGATGCTTTCAATGCGCCTAGCTTCTCATCTTCAACATATGCATCAGCCCATAAGTCCTCCAAATCCGGATGCTTGGAAAGCCAATCAGTGTCCTGCGCAGCCTCGCCATCAGGAGAAGCCCCAACGCGCGGTGCAGAGGCACCGGTGCTGCGCTTCTTGCCGGTTCTTTCCCCCAAATCAGCCTGAGCGAAGACCCGACATTAGACCATCAATTTGATAAGAAAAAACTGTTTTTTTTAATCAGCACATTGCTTAAAAACTAACTCACCAACACAGGGGTTCAAACTGAAAACCAATGACTCCTTTAGAGGGTCAATGTTGCACACATCTCAATCCCATATGTACAAGCTAAGATGTGACGGTAATAGGAAAAGATCATTGTTAGATTGTACAAATGCATGGTGAGGAACCATGGTGATGTGAGCCACTTCATGGGACGTTCCATCCCTGAACTTGCAGACTATGGGAGCATCAGGGTCTGCATTCGGGTCATAGGTGGGTGAAAGGCCAAGTTCAATAGGGCCTCTCTGATTAGCTGATAGAATCTCCTTTCGCCATGGTCGGAAGAGAGTTTCGTCCCATCCCATCTCAAACTCCTTCGGTTTGCTACCTGTGCTGGGAGCTGTGGGCAGGATCTGCGGTTGAACTTGACGTTCGTCACCAGCCGGGCTCCCTGAGCAGAAGTGGGCAAGGCATTTATCAGCTACGAAAACATCTTCAAATAAGATCCTGATGGCAAAAACAATTTAAACATATCCAACCATGCTTTGGTATGTGGCAGGAGGTGTTGGGGCAGCGGTAGAGCTCTGTTTTTTTTTTAAAGGGATTGGTCTCACTGACATCGAGCCAAGATTGATACGTAAAAGTTCATGGCAATGACCCAGCGTGCGTGTGAAAACTTTCTTCACAAGATATAAATAAATAATAATATATATATATATATAAATGTAGAGAGAGATATATATATATATATATACACATGATCTTATATGTATATCTCTATACACGCTTTCTCGTTGGATATTTAAATAAGAAGGAGACACCAGCCAGTTTGACGAGCCACATGGAGGTCCTGGAGTGCTTTCCTCGGCCATCATGTGCTCGAAGAAGGACTCCGGCGGGTGTGGTCCATAATCGGCTATGTGGTCGTCGAAGAAGGAATCCATCACCGGGGGTGGTCCCAAGACATCCTGGGCCGCCGCCATACATGGGTTCGTTTTTTAGGTAAAGAAAAAAACGAACATGAGACCAAGTATACTACATATGTCTGAATAAATGTTCAGATGTCAAAGGGCAAAAAATACTCTGCACATACAACAGTAAAATGTTATATGTATATAAATTATATAGATATATAGATGTGTATAAATTCGCAGAATAAAACCAGATAGTCAGCTGTTTCAGATTTCGATTTGGCAAACCCTGCACGAAATTCCTTCCCAACCCACAATCCCACAAGACCCAAATTGGGGCATGGTGGGGAAGGATGAAAATGATGGACGCTTGCGATTCTTTCCACACATGCCTGCATGGGTGGGGAACCACATAAAAACAAATCCTTATGTACTATTTGTAGTAGTGTCCAATGTCTGAATTTTACAAAGAATCCTAGTGAAACAGCCCCCAATGCGAGTAAGATTCATTCATCAAGTCCTGTAAGCTTCTACGTCTAGGTTCAGCGCATGCTTGGCTTGAAGGTGATGTGCGGGCTGCTTGCGGCTTTGTCTTTGCTGCTGTCTTTTTTTTGGATGGTGGGGGATCCTTCTTTTGTTTTTTGGACGGCGTGGGTTCCAAATTGTCGGATGACTTGGATCTCTTCACTTGGACTAGTTGTGATCTTTTTGACTTCTTCGGGGCAGGGGGTGCTTCAGGGGGGGCAGTTCGATCTGTTTGCTTGTCTGGAGCTGCGGTCAGTGCTCGCTTGTTTGCTTCATTTTTGTCTTGTTTCCCTTCACTGGCTGACGAAGATTCTCGCTCTTCCGGTGCCTTCTTGTCTGCCGACTTGCGTCGTAACCTGGTCTGCGGCGGGTGTGAAGTCTCTTGCTGCGGTGCTGCATTGTGTGCTGCCGACTTTGCTGCCTGCTGCTTTTCATCAGACTTGCTCTGGTGGCTACGTTTGCTTTTGGCTGCCATGCTCGTTTCAGGCGCTCCATGGTCTGTAACTTCAGTTGGGGGATCCGATTCCTTCTCCTCTTCCTCACCTTCACCTTCACCTTCCTGCCCGTCTCTTCTGGGGTCGCCTTCTTCGCTAGAATCACTAGAATCATTGCTGGAGCTGCTGGAACTAGATTTGGATTCTTTCCCGC